GCCGTCGATATTGCAATTAGAAGATTTTTTTTTCATCTGGATCTTTTGCACTGACATTTCAGTACACAAAGTGGGTACCGTGGGTGCTGTAACAGTTCCATTCTTCTGGATCATTCTTCCGCTGGTACATGAAATTCGAGTCTCAGCAAATATTCATTTCCTGCTTCCTTTTTCGATTTTTCTTTTCCAGACGTTAAGCAGCGCGGCTTCATGGATGCAGCTCATGGCTTTGCATTTGGCTATCAGTTTATGGATTTCTCTTTGGCTGAAGCACATTGGTGCCCTTTCAGCCTGCAGCTGGAGATCGCTCGCTGATTTGTTATACACATACGTTTGAGTCTCAGCGGCATTGTCCCTGTTCTCGAACACCTGCTCCTTCTTGCACAACTCATTGTTTTCCCTTCCTATATGACTGCAACATTCCAAACATACGCGTTTTCGAAGGGCAATATTTATTGAACATGGGATTTTCGAAAATGCATTAAAGGCAAATATTCGTTTACCGCCTCTCATATGCTGTTCTCCCTGAATGAAATATCAGATCGGTAGCACCGCTCTCGGAAGTGATAGCTTACGGCATCACTCAAGCTCCTCTCCCTTCCCTTCATTTCTTCCCTTTTCTTTTCGATTTAGACGAGGCACATCTGGGTTTGATACTCCAAGAAGATAAAGCATTTATGCTTGAAAATACACTTAGGTCGGAAGTAAAAAGTTAGTTTTTGAAAATCCTTCACGGATACCAAAAAGAAATGGAGTTTGGAAGGCTCGACTTAAATATTCCATGTTGAATCTGTTAATGCGCATGGGAGGGATTAAAAGACAGTGTTTTAGAGTATGTAAAGCAATATGACATGTTCATCGCTTATGTGCTAAAAATATGTAGGGATGTTTGTCTGTGTTTCATATCTTAGCTGTAAACACAGACAACCGAAGGAGTGGTTAGGGGCGGGAAAAGTAGGCCAAGTAATACTGTGGACAACCAGACTGTGTGGGTAAACGGAATTCCTGGCTACAATAAATCAGCTGATGGGGGAGCTATGTTATTTCAAACAATGAACTCTCCCCTGCTTCAAGCGCAAAAATATCACAGCGAATGATAAATGATGTCAAGCGCAGACTAGCTAGGATGCGATGAGTCAGAGCAATATCTTGAATATCTTGATCAGTTATAATTCACAATCCGCTTCTCCAGCTATACAACTGACAACTTTTCCAATTGCTCTTCCCAGTGCTGCGTAGTTGGTGCATGGAAAAAAGACAAAATAGCGGATATTTAAACAATATGAGCTAAACTGCCCCTGATTACTGACAATTAAAACGTCCCCTTGCTCTAATCGGACAGGGTGAGCTGGTGGAAAAAGAACTAATTTTGGATCTGCCACAGAAATGCTAACAAACACCGCTATGGTGAAGAAAACGAAAATCCGATACCATGCTAGTGATAGGAATAATCCGAGGAGCAACAGGGAAATGACTCACTAACGCAGGTTGTGAGTAACAATTGGACAAAATCGAGAAGCATGAAAGTAGCTTCGCAAATTCTTCAGTAAATGGTATTAAGAAGGAGGTAAAATTGTTAGCAAAGGGAGTAATAGATTAGTTGAAAATTTCCCATAAAAAGGAGAGCTATTTAAAAGACGAAGAAAGAAGATATTGCACTGAGAGAAAGTATGTGCGTGGAAAAGAAAAACTATTTCATGGGAAAGAAAGGAACAGTGAACTACTGATGAGGAATTTCTCGGTCTATGAATTCGTTTACATTCTCTCCTTTCAAAAAGTCAGCAAAATAACTTTTGCACCATGCAATATGAGCAAGTAGGATTCCCTGCCGAAATCGTACAATTGATTCGGTAGGCAGAATCACGAAAGAGAATAGACAAACACTGTCCAGAAGAAAAAAAAAAAAAAGAAATTGAGCAGCGATTCTTTCGCAGTGCTGCTAGAACAGCTTGTTCTGTGTTTTTATTACAGAAGCATGTTTGTTTTTTCTTTTCAACTGCATCATCTTCCAGTTCTTTCGAATTTTTGCAATAGCTTTCTGCACGCTTGTATTTCTCCCAAAGTTTGCAAATACTTAACTTACGTTGGTAATGATTTTGATTTCGCAAGAGAAACGAGGAGAGGAGGGAAAAGGAGGCAAGAGAACAAATACGCAGTAAACATTCTGCGATTTTTTTGTTGTTTATGAATGTTAGGAATTACGTTTGCTTGAAAGTCAAGGTTTTTTTCGGGCTCATCACGATGAGGGATTTAGCGCATGAAGAATTTTACCCATGAAAAAAGAGCAACACTTTGGCCTGGTCAGGAAACATTTTCTGTATAAATTTATCGCTACTGTATTCAGTTTGCTAGTACAAAAAAGGCTTGCAGATGGTCGACTTACAGCCAAGTGGTTTGCTCCATAAAATATATTCAGATCATTTAATGCTCGAAAGAATAAGCTAAGGGAATGAAGCTAGGCTACCAACATGTGCTTCTATACATCCTTTTAGCCTGCACGTGGGAGCCGCGCTCATCTCGGGGCTGATTTTGAAATTACTTGATTGTAAATGGATGGGGAACATCCCCTCAAAATTTCAGCTTCCTAGCTTCACTGGCTATTAGTAACTCACTCGAAAAAATCTTTGACAGGGCCCTGCGTGGCTTTTACATATACCAGGGGCTGGTTTTGCTTGAAGTTACAAAATTTGCAAAATTACTTTTACTTTTCAGGTGGGCATGCTGCAATAGCAAGTTTTACTGCTGTTATGCCAATGGTCAGGGGGCCGACATGGTCAGTATCAAACCAATTCGGATTATTCGACACTGGCCAGGTAACCCTCCACATTTTGTCACCTGTTCGAAAATATATTGGTATTGGGATATGTTAGGAAGTCAAATCCGTCATCAGTCTGTTTCTAGGCAGTCCTTGAAAGCGAGAGTCACCAACTTCCTTAGCAGTGCACGACTGCAGTTGACAGCTGCTACCATTCAAGCTACTTCCGATCTCCTTTCCTCTGGGGAAGACTGAAAACAATAAGGATTAAAACTTTTGATTCAAAATCTCCGAATTGTGATAAGTGATAAAATGAATGAAAGCGGCAGAACGGCTGAGCAAAGTTTTTTCTAAGTACTCATTAAAGAAAGCAGAATACACTTTTTTCAGCAAAATCCTTTTATGGTTATATAAAAGTGCACGATATTTCAGCGCGATCTGGGAGTAACAGCATTTGTGATGGGATAGCGGCGCTCAACACCCACCGCTGGATAAAGCCTTGCAAAAACACTTCTATCGGGATAACTACTGAGCCAGTAATCTCTTTAGGCAATGAGGGGAAGTCGAAAAAGCCAAAGGGCTGATCATTAAGCACTGAAGAAAACAACCATGAAATGAAGAAACCAAGTGAGCGAAATCTTATTTTACGTCTGCCCGTGTATGCACAACAAATACTAGGTCGCTCAATTCAGCTTGATTCTAAAGTTGGCGCTTCGCCAGCAGCTCCTGAATTTTTTATTTGATGTGTCCGTACGCGTGAAATAAATATGCGTGATAGCTGAATTTGAAATTCTTTGCTCATACGCGGATACAAGATATCCACGTCTGTTTTCAATTTCCTGTTTTGTTTGGCTCCAGAAATTATTTTTTCCTCCGAAGGATTTATGTGCTTTTTTCTTAAAGTGCCCACATGAAGACCCTGGCATACGTGAACGCTGAATTTAAAATTTTTGATAGCTCATGGATTTGGAACATCCTTGTGAAATTTCAGCTTCCCAGCTTCTACGGTTGCAGAGTTGAAAAAACAAATTTTATTTAGTGCTGTTCCCAAAGGAGCAGCACTAATCAAAATTTGTATTTGAAGTTTACTTAATAATTTGGCCCTCATTTTCAGAAGTTATGCAGTTTGAGATACAAGCTGAACTAAAGCATTATTGGGCCATTACTGCTTTTCCCAAACTTCAGTTTTTTTTAGCTAACCTAAGTTAAAAATGTATAACAGACAAGGAAAAGTACAGAGATAAAAAAGGTTCCCATTATGCATTCTCTCATTCACGCGATGTGAGAAGGCACGAAAACGAAACTGGATTTAGAAAAAGCTAGAATTGGAGTGCTCTTGTCACACACGAGCACGGAAGATGAAGGGGCAAGGAGCAGCAGATGTTCAAGAGGAAGGACATGGCTTCGTAGCCTATACGGCTAAGTATTGACGACAAGAAATGTCGCATTGAGTCATCGCATTTTTTGAAGACTGAAAAGGCACTGGTGCACAGCAGTTAACCACAAACAGCCGTAAAGTATTGGCCGAGTGCGCAGCCGTAGAATATCGTTTTATAATCATCTCACATCATCGCGTTCGGCAACGAAAAAGTGACTACATGCTGCCCACAAAACAATCCGTTCAATAAATTCAGATTTTCACTCGTCACTTTTTCACGGTTTATGATAAATTAGTACCAGCATTTATCAGAAAGTTAAACCCGCTATCAGCTTGCTTGTAAGCAACCACCGAAAGAAGGAGCCATCGACAGTCCTACGTGCGAGTGATTGCTGTTGGCATATGCTACCCCACTCAGTACTACCCTTTTCACAGAGAGCGAATATGGAAAGAGATTTCGAATTATGATTTTGACTTTTCCCATGAAAATTACAGTGTAGGTCCAGACGAAGACTGTTTCTGGAAATGAGTCTCAGTCACCTGTATTATTTACAAGAATTGTAAGAGAAGCAGCAGTCGGTCAATAGGCAAATCAGTCAACATCTGTCATCATTAGCCAATAAATGATTCAGAGCGATCGTTACTGAACGACCGCTCACAATATGTTGCTTAAAAATTTCCAAAGTGT